TAAGTAAATATTCTGTGATCCCAGTGTCACAGAACCACTCCCCAAGCAAAGCTGTGACATTTCTAACCTATTTCCACCAGCACTTCAGCACCCTAACAAGCTCAACTTTGAGAAAACTAAAAAATAAGGATTATTGAAAGAAACATTTGTTAATTTATCCAAAGGGAGCACAAGTTCACTGGCACCCATTGTTTTGCCTTTCTGCTCTCTTTGTTTTTTCCCCTTGAGCTGGTAAATGAAACCTACCTAAGGGGAAATTCTTCACACAAGCAGCTGGAAAGGCAGGACAGTAGATTTCCTACAGGAACACAATTTACTGCAGTAGCTACAATCACATCTGGTATTTCAAAGCCATTCCAGTGTCACCAGACCCTCAGCCTACCATTGGCTCCACTGCTAATTGCATTGCAAAGTCACAGCCCTGAACCCCACGAGGCAGATGAAGATCATATGGCTGCAGAGCCCAGGGAACAAACACCAGAGAGTTCCAGGGGCTGGTGATGAGCTCAAGACCTTCTGACCTCTTGGTTACCTGGGTCAGGCACTTCAAAGCAGAATTAGAGCAGAGGACTCAGCGTGACACAAATCCCAGTTTGTTTGCTTGACATCCTCACAGTCCAGAGCAAAGCAGGGACCTCAGGCAATGAGCAGACAATTAGGTGATGGAGAGAATGACTCAGAGAGCAAGATCCTGTCACTAAAAGGAGAGAGAATCACATTTGGCGAATATGGATAGTTTTATATTCCACACCCACTTAAGAGTCATGAGAGGTTCAGAATTTGAGGCTGAAATAAGGTTCAAGTCATCTGTCTCTAGTGAAGAGAGAATTAATAAAAATCCATCAGGAAAACTCTAGATTCTGAAACCATTCTTACAGACTACATAAATAGGGATACTTATTCATAGATGACCTTTTAATATTAAGAACAGGCTTCTATCACATAAAGACATTCACAGTTACTTAAAAGAACTAAAATCTCACCTGAGAGGCTGGAGGTTGCTACATTTCAGTGCAGTTGTGCTGAGGAAGATCATTTCCAGCCCAGCACAGATGGAGATGTAGGGCCAGGCACAACACAGGCAGTTATTCTGGACAGAACACATCTACCTACAGGAGGTCCACACAGACATCTTGATCTTGAGAGACAGACATCCAAGTGACCTGCTAGGAAACTGGGAGCCTCAAGGAATAACTGACAACATATTTCAAGCACCAACACTTTGGGTTTCTCAGGGAAGCAAGACAAGCTGCAGTACTGGAAAGCTGATGTCTGTTTAAATATCATTCCCACATCAAAGCAGCTCACAGAGTCTGTTTAACTATTCCATGGAATCCATGGCAAAGGGATTTGCCCCCTGATATGGAGTAAACCATTGGCAGAGGAGCAACTGGGACCCAGGTCTCACTCTCCTGGGCTGTGCTCTGAGTCACAACATGAAATGACCAAAGGCCACCTGGCCTTCCATGTCAAAGCCTCTGTCAAGCAAATATTGCAGTTATTACTTTCCTCTCCATATCCATCCTCAAGAAACGTCATTGCTGTAGGAATCACTGGGAATTACTGTGACCAAATATGCAATTACCAGTAGAATGTGGATAAGAATACCTATTTGTACAGCCCTGTTAGTTGTAACATCATGGTTCTAATGTTCATTAACAGGAAGAAGTTTTTAGGCTGAAGAGTGTTTTAAAGACCTAACTGCTACAGCTGGAATTGCATCCACCCCAGAGGGATTTTGTGAGGGTACTGTAATGATCCCAGTGAAAAAATTATCATCCTACGTTGCTTTTGGGTTCATGTTTTGGGATTTTCTATCAGCCACCTCCAAGTCTCATCCAAAGAGGTTTCCAGTCTAAGCCCTGCATGTATTCTCAGAAGTTTCAGACTCCCGCAATTAAGTTCACAAGGACTCAATGTGTGACTAATTAGAAAGTACAGGAAAATAGAATGAAGAGTTGGGAGAGCACCAACCCCAAAGACAACTAACACAGAGGCAGTGTTCCTTGACAACTGAGCTACTTCCAGCATGGGAACAAGCTTCCCTTAACTCAGTTAGCAAAGCTTCTCAGAGCTTGGAGGAAGATTTCTCCTTGGCAGGCAGCCCCTCCATTCTTATGCTTCCAGTAAGGCCCACTTCCCATTCATTGCCTTAACAGCAGCAAGTTCAAAATGCATGCACTGAATGGGAATTTCAAGCTAAATTGAGAAGCTGTTGCAGTCCATACAATGCCAGCAGACACTGCTGCCTGGATTTCAGGCAGCACATCAGAAGTTCAATTCAAGCACATGCAAAGATAGACTGCAAGTTTCTTTGGTCTAATAACCAAGACCTGTCAACTGAAGCCAACCAGAAACTAGAATATTCATTAAAAATAGGGAAACAAAGAACACATCATTACTCTAGAACAAGTATTCCATGGCTTCACTTTGAAAAATGTGAATAACAATAATTTTTCCTCCAAATTTCCCTTCACCACCACCACCCTAAGGTTTTTACAGTGCTCAGGGCCTTATTTCTTTGGCAGGAAACCTGGTCAGCAGTCCTCAGAGCCTCAGGAGCCCATCTCTGAGCCAGCCTGCAACCAAGGGCTGTATCAGCACAAAGAAACTTCTCCCCTTGGAGAAATACAACTCTTATGACAAGTTAACTGTTAGAAAATTGATAGCAGATTCACAAATGGCTCTATCATTTGTTGATCAAAAGACAACTGCAGAAAGATGGTGTGTCCTGTATCAAGGAAACCTGTCCACTGTACAGCATCCCATCAGTGTGTGCTGCAATGTACCAACACCTGGAGCTGCAGCAGGAACTTTCAAGGCTCTGTCTCTGATTATTTTTGGCTCAGAAAAGTGCCAGAAGTCACTGGACAAAGCACACACGCTGGGAAGGTTGAAGAAGAGAAAGTGGGAATGGCAATATAGTGCCATTAATACCACTATATGGCCACTGTATAAAGCAATCACCTTCCCACCATCTTGTCTCCTCCACAGCCTCTCCAAAGCAGAGGCCAGAAAGTTTCATTGTGATGGAGCTGCTGTTGCTTCACATAATTCAGGTGCTACCAAGATCCCATTTCAATGGCAAAAGGGACACTGAACAACATAAAAACCCATCTATACCAGTCTGATTCAGTCCTTGAAAAAAGGCTTTGCACCCCTATAGATCAATGTCAAACTCAGAGCAAAAAGCCTCACTCCTATCATGGACCATATTAAACCCAGAAAAGTCCAGTTATCCCAACCTGAAGCTGCGCCCAACAGGAGACTTCCCTCAAAAGTCCAACACTGTGGCTGGGGAAAGTTTTCCCACACTGATTTTCCCATCAGAAAGTGAAGCTGTTAGACATTTGCCAACAACAAAACTTCACCACTCAAGGGGAAATTAAAACATACAAAGATTGCTTCAACGTGTGATATTTAAACTGAGCACTTGAATTTTTCTTTCACAACATCCACTGGTGATTTTTTCCTCCCTTCAGTTTTTTACTTCCCCCTCTGTATTAAACTAGAATGGGAGAGTCTCCCAGGGCAAAGCTGGGACATAAAAAATAAATCTAAAAAACTTACCAGTTTTCCCCAGCATCATTGTTTAGATCAGGTTTATGTGGTTTTACACAACACTTTATAGACTTGGAGAGAGACACATTCCCCTGACAAAGCATCAGCTATCCAAACCATTGAGGCATGGGAAAGCTGTGCAAGAGTGGGAGCTGGGGAAGGTCTTTGGTGAACAGAGTCCACACTCATGTAAGTGTGGTAGCTCTGAACAAAGATCTGCAGGCTAATAGATATGTAAGACAAATGACATGTGGTTCTCATTGCAGCTCATGCTTTGGGAAGGGGGTACCTTGGAAGAGATCCAGCTGGGATAGGTTTATCTCATTACTCTCCTATAATTTTCTGCCGTTTCAAACCCTTTGACAGTTGCTGTAGTTTAACATCACACCCCCTGCAGCCCCAGGGCTGTCTGACAGCGTAGCGGACAAAGCCACCTCCCCCCGGGGGGAAATCCGCTCCATATGCGAGCCCCGTGCAAGGCGCAGGGCTGGTGCCGCCCCTGCACCTCCGATCCGCCACGGAAATCCACGGAGTCCGAGCATTTTCCCAAACCCCAGCCCAAGTAAGCCGCGCTAACAGAAGCCCTCCTCCACAGCAGCACAACTCACGCAGACTAGGTATTAGCAAGGGAGGAGAAAAAGAGGTAGAGACAGGATGGACGAGCCTTGAATATTAAATCTCAAGTCCCCACTTAAGGGAATGACAGGGGGGGGAAAAAAAGAAAAAAGTGAAATTCAAGAACAACGGGAATCAGGTTAAGCCACTCTCTTGCTTTATACAGTGCAGCTCATTCATCTGAACAGCTGTTTCACCTCTAGAGAAATACCCAGAGAAAACAGAGGGGAGGGGGAGAAGCCTAAATTGTTTGCTCTACTGAAGCAGTAAAATATAGTAAATCAAACCTGATTTATATTAAGTTTATAAGAAATTGGGTTGGGGTCGGGGGAGAGGAGAAGAGTGGGAGGTTTAGTTTTAAACAGCCACTTGGAAGTTGCAGCTCTTGAAGAAAGATCTGTAATTAAGGGCTTTCCTTTGTTGAGCTGAACAAGTTTCTCCTCGCAGCCGAGGGCTATAACAGTTCCCTCTGCCGGCATCCCCCGTGCCCCGGCTCGGGAGGTTTTCCTGCTCCGGCCGCGCATTGCGCAGGGACGCTCAGCCCAGCAAAGCCCCTTCCCCTCCCCGCGGGGCTGGGGACACTCTGCGGGTGTCATTTACCCAGGCTCAGCTCCTCGATCCCCCAGGAGGCGGACACTGCTGCGGGCAGGTAGGGAGCGTCCCGCACGCCCCCGAGGATGCGGGCAGCCCAGCCCAGCCCGGCTGGCCGAGGGGCAGCAGCCCAGCATCCCCTGCACCCTCCGAGGCACCGCTGCCCCGTTTGTCCCCGGGGCCACCGGCGGGGCGCAGCCTCCTCGCCCGGAGGCGGACCCGCTCTTACTCACCGGCGACTGGCGAAGCCGCTGCCCGGCGAGCCGGAGCTCTGCTCTGGGTAGTTGTGCTGCAGGGTTGATGCTGGGAATTGATAGAGGAAGCCAGTGCCCAGCGCGCATCCGTGCAGGCAGCAGCACCAGGACAAGAAAAGAGCGAGCTGCATTTTTGCAAGAACGGGGTTTTCCTACCGCCTCCCCCTTCCCTCTCACACTGCACGGCAGGCGCAGGGCCACACCGCGCTCCCCCGGCCGGGGTCACGGCGGGATCCCGCGGCACGGAGGAGCCCCGGGAGCGGGGAGCAGGGGCAGGGGTGCCGGGCACAGGGGATGGCGGCTCCGGCTGCCAAAGGGAAGCCCCGACCCTCGGCAAGCCGAGCCCCGGCGGCTGCGGCTGCTGCCCGCGCAGGGGGTCCGGGGCCAGCGCGGCTCGATGCTCCCAGGGCGCACACTCAGCCCCGGATGCCTTTTCAAATTTGGCGAGGTTGGCCCGACTCCGTCAAAGGGGGCGTGGGGCTTCGACGTTAACCCTTGCCAGGCCTCGCTGCAGACCCCGCTGCCGAGGGGTTCCAGACGAGCTGCGCTCCCGCGGGACACGGAACCCGCGGGGCTGCGCCTTAACCCGGACACAGCCCCGAGGGCAGGGAGAGCCCGGGGAGCCCCAGTCCCCACCCAAACCCATCACCGACACAGCAGAATCCATGTGTCTCCTCAGTCAACCGAGGGCCAGGCCGAAGGGAACTCACTGCCAAAATACCCCAAAGCTGGTGCCTGCTGCCACTTTCACAGATAACTTCTGCTGCAGAAGTTACACAGATAAAATAGGAAATAAATAATTTAAAGACATTTCATTCACACGATAAGCAGTGAGAAACTGATCCTTGCTTTCACCATCCTGCTCATTCTAGCATCACTCAGATGGAGACATGGATTAGTGGTGAACATGACAGTGTGAGGTTGACTGTTGGACTCAATGATCTTAGAGACCATTTCCAACCTTCATGAGCCTATGATTCACACACAAGCACTCCCTTTGCACCACTTCCCACAGACCCCCTTGGTTTATCAGGATGGACCTGAACTTGAAGAGGCAGGAGGAACATTTTTGCAGTTGTAGAAGAACATTTTGCAGTTGTTTGTGGGTGTTTTGCAACAGTAACACCCCAAGAAGGAAGGCAGCAGCAAGGCTCCCCCTCAGTACAGCAGCTGAATCTCTGTTTAAAACCCTTGTACATCCCCCATTTAGCAACAGTGTCAGGACCCTTTTTGCTGGCTCAGTGTCCCCTTCCCAGGTCCAGAGGAACCTGGGCTGTTGCAGCTCACTGATTAGGCAAGCAACTTCTCTGCACCAAACCCCTCAAGAAGGGATTTAATTTTTAAGATGACATAACTGTCTTTCTAAATTTTTTAGAAAGACTGCAAGCTCTCAACACCCCCTCTGCACCTTCACTGTTTGTGCAGTGAGCCAAAGACAGCCCTGATGTACCACTGAAATCAAGTCTCTTGCTGGGGTATTCTAAGGGCCCAGGGCCTCCCCATGGGGCTCTGCAAAGGCAGGGACCCTCTTCCCTCGAGGGCAATACAAACCCTGCAAGATGCTGCAGCTGAAAAAATGTTCCCTACATGACCCTGGGAAAATCCAGTATCCTGTATCTGCCATTTGCCCCCAGCCACAGGTGAGCAGCTACCCCTGCCCCCACGGTGCCCACCTCCAGAGCCTGCACACAGAGATAAATAGCCCCTGGCTGGAGCCTGGAACCAGACAAGTTTAGACTGCAAATGAGGCACCAGGTTTTTAAACAGCCGCTGCCATTAATCACTGCAGCAAATCACACGAGGAGGCAGAGATGCAGTTTGCACTGCAGCTCAGCACAGCCTCCCCAGGCTGCCCCAGAGCCAGAGCTGGGGCAGGCAGTGCACCAGCACTCTGAGCCTAAAAGGACCTAAAAGTTCTGTTCCAGCAACACTGGATGCAAAGCCCACTCAGAAACAGACACTATATATTTACAAAAAGCCCTCAGTGCCTGAAGGATGGACATAACAGGGCCCTCTATCCCCAGGCCTGCAGCCTGAGCACTCTTCCCTTTATATTCCCCTCACCTCCAGCAAGGGAATGTTTTCCCTTCCCTTCTCTCACCCCTAAAAAGCACACAGCTCCCAGAAAGTCACTGTGGGATGTTCAGCCTTTCAGACACACTGCTCAGAGTCAGTCCTCAGGAAACCTCTGCTCAGCCTGGCAGGGCAATAAAAGAAGAGACTGCTCTTCCCTCTAAGCTGGACTACAGACCACTACAAATTCAGCCTTCACCTAGGAAAGGAGAGGAACAGCAAAACACTGAGCAGTTCTGTAAGACCCCCCTTCCCCTCAACCTAGGTGCTCATCCTCAACTCTCTGTGCACAAAGATCCTTGCAGCACCAGACTGAGAGTTGAGGGCAGGGTTCAGGGTTTTGTCCCAATCACACTTCTTTCTCCTGACAGGCTCAGATAGCTCATTTATCAATATTTAGCAACACCAAACAGCAGCAGTGGCTTTCTAACCTGGCCTGGGTTAGATCCTTCAGAATCTCTTTGTAGTCTTCAACTCTTAACTTTCCAAAAGCATTTTGTTTTCAGCTGCATGGAAAATTTTCTGCTTCAGCCTTCACTGATTTTGCAAGACCCTAGGAGATATTAAACACAGGTGATTAGACAAGACATGATTCTGGGAAATTATTAGAGACATCTGTAGGAAGCAAATGGTCTTCCTATTTCATGAACTGAGAGAGTGGAGACCAGAGGTCAAATGACTTTGCTCAAGACTGCAAAGAGCTAAAGGCAGAGCCAGAAACAGAGCTCACATCTCCAGCCTCCCATTATTTCTGCTGTGTCCCTAACGCACACTTGCTTCTATTCTGTATGGCTGATTTAAAATGAAAATGAAGAATTGACTTCCAAGCTGTTTCTGGAAAGAGAGAAGAAAGGGTGATATTGTCTACTGTAAGGGGAGAATTAAAGATGACATTTCATTTTAGTCCTTTGGATATGTGTAATATAATCAAACACAATAGCAGTAATAAATGAATATTTTTTCTCCCCACGGTGCTTATGAGTGCAACATATTCTAACAATTTCTCAAAACTATGTTGATAAATTGGAAACACAGTGATGGAGGTAACAAAGACAGCCAACAAAAACATAATCCCTTCAATTTATCAGAGGGACTGGCTTTGAGAAGAAAACCCTTGAAATCTGAACAGTCCTGTTCTTATAAATGAAATGTAATATATTTAAAATAGAAAGCTACACTTTTTATGCCTGGTAATTAAAGATTTGCCCAGGCAAGCAGGGCTAAATAAATTATTTGGATGCATTTCACCAATTCTGTTCAAGATAAAAGGGGCAGATGCACACTGGAAAGCCACAAGGCAGAGCAGCACTGGGGGAAATAAGTAAAGAGTAAGGGGCAGGTTTTTATTTACCAACCCTGTGAACTCTCTGTAATAAAGAAGAAATCCTTGGAGGACTGTCCTCCTGCACTCTGCTCACCTGCTATGCAAATGCCAGCCTTACACTGTCATGTCAGAAGGATAATCCATTGGACAAAATTCATGTGGGCACATGGACTGTGTTTCAACTTCCCAGTCCACTGGGCAAACCTGACTTAAAACATCAGAAACTGTACTGAGAAAATATCTATAATTTATTTAACTATACACACCCTGCATGCAAGCCAATCAATAAATTAAGTGGTGAAAAATAGAGAGAATAAAATGAATAATCAAAGTTTAGTCTGAATTTAGTACAGTTGAAAGGGAAAAACTGGAATGATGCAGCAAAAGAGGGATCTGTGGCACAAAAAGGTAGAAAAGCACTGTTGTATCTGTAAGCAGACTGCAGCTCCACAACAGAAATGCCATCTCAACTCTTCAGCACCACTTTTATTCCAAAAGTCAGTAATTAGCTGAAAAAGAAAAGTCACAATGTTGTTAGAATCATACCAAACAAATTTTGAAAGGGCAATCTCCAGGATTTTTCAAGTGCACTTTTCATGTGGATACTAAGAAGAGACCAAAGGAAAAGCAGCTTTGTTCTGGTTGATAAAACCTTGAGGAGCTTTAGAATTATGAAGTGTCCTTTTGAAGCTAGAATGAAGTCATTGATAAGATCATCTAAACCTAAAAATAATTTAGATAAACTCCTTCTAGCTTCCCAAAATGCCTAGATCATTGTGATATACAAAACATTTAAGAAACATTGGAAAATTGAAAGAGATGGATAAGAGGTTAGCAACAGTAAGAGTTCAAGACCTCTATTATAAATTAAATTATAAGATCACTAAGGTTATTGTAACATGCCTGTTACTGGAGAGTCAAAGCAAACCTGAGCCAGACTGAAAGTTTTATGGGACTATGGAAGTTTTTATTCTAAGCCATTGTGTGGACATTTCTTACATTTGACCAGGAATAAATTAATCACAACTCAGAATGGAATAGAATTGAAAAAGGGCTCACTTACACAAGCAGTTTAACATACAGCAAACATGATGGACAGTGTTATTGTGTGAAGCATGAGAAATGAGTCAGAGAGCATGAATGGCAAAATTCATTGACCATAGATGAGACCTTTGCCTGAGTGAAGCACTTGTGTGGGTATTATAAAGTAATACAAGGGATAAAATAACTCAGATTGAAGCATAATTCAGCAGATGGAAAATGTGATGACTCAACTGATCAGCAAGACAATGCCTGTGTCCGGTGGAATTATACATACTCTGAGCATGATTGTGTCCTGGCAAAAAAGATTGATGTCACCTTTGATGTCAGGCACTGATCTGCACAGGCCAGGGAGTTTGTGGACACTCCCTTGATCCATCAGAATCATCAAGAATGCAGCAGGGGTGCACACAGGTGTGACAAAGACAAGGCAGAAATAGCACCAAGGCTATTGCACTCAGACCTGCCAGAGTAGGAACACATCCAGAAGTGGCCAGGAAGGACTGTGAGAGTTACCTAATCCTTCCTCCTCCCAGTAAGGAAAGATCTGTTATACACAGATTATTGTTGGCCCAAATTTTTCTGCCTTGTTCTGAAAGACCTCAAGATAGAAAGTCTCCACCGTCATCTGAAAACAAATTTGAATATTTGTGCTCTGTTCTGGTAGTTTTTCTTAGTATCCAACCTCATTCT